TAATCTAGTCATAAGCATCACAGTGGGAGAAGGTCGGTGTTGAGCTCTTTTGAACAGGGTTATTTAATATCTAATTTTTCTACTGAAGCCTATGGCCATGTTATAAAATACCTGGAACCCCTCCTAAGTCATTCCATGTTTTCTTATATTTCACTCCTTTTTTCAGGACAGGCTAGTTGTTCTGTGCCTTTTATCCCATTTTGTTATTCTATGATTTATATTGCAGCTTATCTCCTCAACTACTAACAACAGTTTCCAGCTAACCCATTCTATTTGATCCCAGTGCTCTGTAGCAGATGTGTAATGCAAATCCTGTCTCGTAAAAGTATATAGTTATTCAGAATGTTTTGTCAGCAGACAGTTTCTTATACAGCTGGTGAGACTGCATAATTTTCTGTATTGATGAAGAGCTTAAGTTTAGAGATTAAAGAGCACTTCCAGATGTTTAATAAATCAGATTGCCCTATAATCCTTTTTTGTTTTTCTAGGAGACATTTTCAAAAACACAAAAGATAGTTAGGAACCCAATTCCCATCGAAAGTCAAACAGCTCCACTTTATTAAGAAAGGGGATGTGTCTCTTTCTAGAGGGATAGGAACTTTGTTGTTTGGGAGTCTTCCTAGGGTTTTCATTTTTCTAAGTAGAACTAGCATGCTGATTAAAGTTATGCCTGGAGGTAACTCAGTGCAATGCTTTTCTGGATCTTACAACTCTAGTTCAAATGTATCAAGTGTGTGCATGTGTGTGTATGCACATGCGTATATATACAAATGTATAAATGCTACTGCTAGGGGAGAATGTTCTCATATAACCTGACTGTCTTAGGTATTTGCATATTTCAGTTTTTACTGATATGAACATTTTATACCAGCTTCTTTTAAGCGAAGGCAAGCTAATACAGAGAGAATGAAATTATTACATCTGTTATAGGCTGAAATGCAAGCAAGATTGATTGTTTCAAATTCCAGCATGTGACACTTTGTCACAACTTGCCTGTGAAATTCAATGTTGGAAACTGCCCAGGGTTAAGGAGTTATAACATTCATTCTCAGTACAAGAAAACAGTAGTATCTGACTCTGGGTCATATGGTTAGTCTTAGGAGGCTGGGGACCATAAATTCATGTGATTTCACAGATTTTTATTTCACAGATATTAAGGGCATATGGAACCATTTATGATCATACACTCTGGTTTCCTGTATAATAGAGGCCTCAGAATTTAGCCCACTGATTTCTACATCCCAACCATTTTTCACAAAGATATAAAGATTAAAAAAGATGAATTTACTACAATACTAGTAAGCTGTTAAAATGCACAACTACAAGATAAACTTTGCTGACTTCGATTTCCAGACACACAGTCTTCTTGTGTCTTTGTCTCATAATTTAAAGAGCCCTCTAATATCAATGACTATTATTCAGGGGGCCAGAAGGTTATCTACTCTTGTTCCATGGGTCACTCTTGGTCATTGAGATAACCACAGTTTTTAACTGTTTCCATGTGTACTGTGTTACCTGACTAGTGTAAGCCTTTGTAGCATTCCTCCAAATTGTATCTTATCTCCTGTATGTGAATTCAAAGTTTCTGAACAAGTAGTAGTCTATGAATCAAATAGTAATACTAGTATTCTCTGAATCAAGTAGTTTTTTGTAAGAATTATTATACCCCTATCTTATAGTCCATAATCTTTCATACTGTATTCAACCCAGACCTTCTTTGAAATTCTGAGAGAACATAGAGGCCTTCCAGCATGCCTCAAAAGTCAGCAAATCAAAACCATTGGTAGCATAACTCTGGTGGGAGTGATAGGGGTCCAACTGCAAGTGCCAACTTAGAGGGGGTGCTAATATGGTACTTACGCCAGGAGTCTTTGCCATGTGGGGTACCATTTTACACTGTCCCCACCCAGCCATAGGACCTGTGTAAGTGCAATCTTGCACTCAACAGCGCATCTGGGAGCCAGAGGGGTGGAATGATGCCCCACAGTGGAGGCTTTGCCATTGGAGGCACAGCTTTGAGCCCAGGGGTTGGAGAGAGGTGAGAATAGGGCACCAGGAAGGACCCCAGGGAGCCTGTGCTGCTACTTGTTTCTTAGCAGCAGCAATATAAGCCCATGCTGCTACTGAAGCAACTGCAGCAAAACAGCTGCAGTCAGAGTGAGGAGAGCTCTGTCAGGTAAGCTCTGTCCCCCCCACCACACCCTGCTCTCCAGGGCTAGCGACAGACATTCAAAAGGACTGAACCTGAGTTGATTCAATCTTTACAGGTTAATCTAACCTGGCTAGGCTGAATCAGTTTGTAATCACAGTGACACTCCCTCGGAACTGAAAAAATGCAGGCACGTGTCTGCAGTGGCTCAAGGTAAAAGCTCAGGGGTGCTAGAGCAGCCCTCTTTTCTCTTCCACAGAGCTGAGCTGAGAGGTAGCGTGGCCAGGCCCTGGCAGGACACTATGATTAGGAAGGGGTGTAACCCCCCACCCTGCCTGCACAATCCCAGGCTTTTCCAGGCTTGCTTCTGAAGGGGCAGCAGTGTTGCCAGACTGCAGCCCCCAGCTAGCACTCTGAGGCAAAGTGGGGTGTGCAGTGTATGCATATGTTGATGACACTGAGCTTTTCACTCTCCCTCTCCCTGCTTCTTCATGCTGTCTGCAAACCTGACAGGCAACGGAGCCAGCAGGGGGCTGATAACACAGCTTTTATCAGCTCATCAACAAAACAAAAGCCTCTCTCATTCTTCCAAGGAAGGAACACAGAGACATTACCAGCTTATCTGTTGATTAGCTCCAAAAAACACTAAGTGGACATTGTTTTGTCTGCCTGTCCCAATGAAATTGGAGACACACACATATAGACACCTCTCTGCATTACCTAGCATGCCACATGCCTAGGGTCCTTGGGGCTGGGGTCCACGCTATGGGGGATGGGATGGAGGGAGGGGGGAATCCCTGCTTGAGCAGTGAGCAGTGGGGAGAGTGGGGTGTGGAGCAAGGCAGACCCTGCTGTGCCCGCAGTCTCCACCAGAGCTCTGGCTAGGGAGCAGAGGGGTGGGGTCAGCCCTGTTCTCTGGAGCAGAAAGCCCAGGGCTGCAAAGCATCTGGGATGCTAGGGGACTCTGGTTTAACTGAAACCAGGAACGGGTCTGGGACAGATATTGCATAAACCAGTTTCACCCAAATCAGTTAAGTCTGATACTACATTCAACCAGGTTTATCTTAAACCAGTTTCAGCCATTTTGAAACTGGTTTATGTGCACTGAACTTATGTTCTGTTACAGCTTTAAACCAGTTTCTGATCTCTTAAACCAGTGTGTGTGTAATGTCTGTCCCTAACTCAGTGGTCAAAATAACCCCACCCCATATCCCAGACACTGAAAGTGTTCCCTAAACCTCCAAGGACCATAGTGTACCAAATGTGTACAAGTACTGTGTTCCAGAGCCAAAGCTTCTCTAAAATCAGTGTGCTATCAGTTCCTTTTCATTTAAACCAAAGGACCAATAATTCAAGTATCTCATCTGATAAATCATAGCTGACAGTATTAGTAAGAGGTAGGAACTCTAAGGTATTATATACATAAGCAACTAGTTAAATCACATACACACAGACACAGACACACACACAGAGTACAATCACTTTAACATATATAGTAAAAGCCGTGTTATCCGGCATTTTACAAGCTGGCATGCTCTATTAACCGGCATGCTGGCTTGTAAGGTAAAAGCGAAATTGGAAGTGCCCACCATGGCACTTCTGGTTTCACTGAGCCCCCTGTGCTGCTGAGCCCCCACAATAATAGTTCTTTTCCCCTTTCTCTTCTGCCCCCCTTCCTGTCCCTCGCAGCAGGAGGGACAGCGGCACACCGGATGCAGCAGGAAGGGCAGCCTCTCAGGTAACCAGCATATTTTGTTATCTGGCACCCCCGATTCCTCGTGGGTGCTGGATAACAAAGCTTTTGCTGTACAACCATCATAAAAAGCAACTTCCATATCTCCAAAATGGCAACTTAAAGAAAAAACTGTTAGATCAAATGAGAGGTCAAGTGTCAGGTTTGGAAAATTAAAAAAATATCTAGCCAATCATTTTTAAAATCAATAAAAACCTTTCTGTCTAGATATAAAAACCCAGATATTTCAGAATTATCTACCACATGGGGATTTGAAATGAGATGCTAAGAGATTGACCACACACTTAAAAAGACACAGTTTAATCTGAGGCACAGTTTCCAGCCAAAGAAAAGTAAAAAGCACTCGAATAACATAAAAAAAATGCTGTCTCTTTAAAAATTTGTTCAGTTTTATGAATGAAATAGGTGTTGTTATAACCCAGGCAATTACATTTGGTTTATAAAAACACTAGATTTTTCTTGTTACAATTTCCCTTTAACAACAGAGTGAAAAAGGGTCAGGTTGTCAAGGCACTGGTCCGGGACCATAAAGTTCTGGTCTCAAGTAGTAAGTCCTGGCTCTGCCCTTGTGTGACTTTGGACAAATTAGTCTCTGTGCACTTTGGTTCCCAATCTATAAAATGGAAATGATACCTTCTTTCTTCCCCCCTTTCTATGTCTGCTCTGTTAAGTCTGAAAGCACTTCAGCTTAGGATGTGTGTTTCAACAGCACCTAGAAATGATGGGTCCCTGGCATCTTCTGCCCATTCCCATTCCCCCTTCCCTTCCTACCATTTGTATTCAAATCATTCTCTCCATTCTATACACTGCTTTGTCCATGTCCTTTCACAATATCTGATGACATGAGCTCATGAAAGCTTATGCTATACCTTTCACTAATGTAATTAGTCTAACAGATCCACATCTAACATAGCTAACTATGTCTCACCATTCTGCTCATCACAGCACTATAAAAATGGCTCTGGTTCGTCCCTAGGTGTTATTGAACATACATAATAATAAATCACAAGCATCAGCTTGGATGACTAGACATGCAATGTCCCCAAGAGCAAAGTGGAGCCTGATTCTTCGACTTTAATTCACGTGAATAATCTTTACTTGCAGTTTCCCCTGTTGGCTTCCCCAGGACCTCCTCTGTACGTAAAAAGCATACCCCCCCCCCCAAAAAAGTGAAACAACCTACTGTGACTATATATGGCAAGTGAAGCAGACAATGTTTTCTTTCCAAATTGATAAAATAAGACATGCAGTCACACTTTACGCTCCTGAAATGACTGCTGTATATCTAAAACTACTCATAATGGGAATGGCTCTCAGAATATGGTACCTTAAGGTTCATGCTGTGTTTAACAAGTTTCTTGCTTAAAAGCTTATGGATTAGAGAGAGGCACACACAGACCAAAACCCTGAATCCATGTAATTAGGGATTTAAAATAGAAATCTTGAATCTTACTAGTAGTGGAGACCTTAGGGGTTTTAATGTAATTCTTAAAGGTCTGCCTTGTTAGAGATACTGTGTGCACCCAGCACACTCACCAATCTACGCAGGGTGCACTGAATATCTGAATCATAGAATCACAGAATCAATGAGTCGGAAGGGACCTGGACAGATCATCTAGTCCGACCCCCTGCCATGGGCAGGAAGGAGCACTGGGGGGTGGCAGGGGTCATAAGACCCCAGCCAGGTGCCTATCCAGTCTCCTCTTGAAGATCTCCAGGCAAGGTGAGAGCACCACCCCTCTGGGGAGCCTAATATCTTCCTAATATCTAACCTAAACCTATCCTCCCTCAGCTTGTGGCCATTGTTCCTGGTGACTCCAAGGGGGGCCCTGGTGAACAGACTTTCCCTGAGTCCCTGCTGCTGGCCCCTGATAAAGTTGTAGGCAACCACAAGATCCGCCCTCAGTCTCCTCTTGCAGAGACTGAAGAGATTCAAGTCCCTCAGCCTCTCCTCATAGGGCTGGCCACGGAGGCCCTCAACCATACGAGTGGCCTCCTCTGGACCCTCTCCAGGTGCTCCACGTCCTTCTTGAAGTGCGGCACCCAGAACTGGACACAGTACTCCAGCTGCAGCCTGACCAGCACTGTATAGAGGGGGAGCAAGACCTCTCTGGACCTGTTAGTGATGCCCCTGTTGATACATGACAGGGTGCCGTTGGCTCTGCCTATTGCTTCGTCACATTGGCGACTCATATTCATCCTGGAGTCAATCCTGACTCCAAGATCCCTCTCTGTCTCTGTGCTGCCGAGAGGGTCAGCCCCTAACCTATAACCATAATTGCTGGTTCCCTCTCCCCAGGTGCAGCACCCTGCACTTGTCCTTGTTGAACCGCATCCTGTTCAGAGCCGCCCATTTCTCTAACCTATCCAGGTCTGCCTGGATGTGGTCCCTGCCTGCCGGTGCATTTACTTTACCCCACAGCTTGGTGTCA